GATAGGAGTTTGAACTTTTACGTTTATTCAGACAAATTACCAATTTGTATTATTGTATGTGAATAAATTAATTATAAAATATATAATTTGAATTTGAGACTAAATTTATTTTAAATAAAAATAGTATTTTTATTTACAATTTTATGCGATTTGTATTAGTTTTTTATAATTATTTTATAAAATTTTAATTTAAACAAGCTCAATGTAATAGCAGAAGAGAATTCTAAAAACAGCATTCATCTTTACGTTTTTTATAAATTTAAATTAAGTTAAGTTTAAAAAATTGAATTAATTATAAAATTCAAAACATAATTTTATTGGTATCCCGATATAACATAAATAAAATTTTTAAAAAAATTATTTCAAGAAAATCTACTCGCAAATACTTATTATAAGTTTTAAAATATATAAATACATATAACAAATCGTACCAACATAATTTTTTTCCTTCCAAAATAACAAAAGTTGATAAATGTTCAAAATTATAAAATGATAAATAAATAATTTAAATATTCAGATTAGTTTTAAAAAAATTAAATATTCTTTTAACTAAAATTGAGAGAATCATACAATTCATTTGATTTGTATAATTCACTTTTACAAAGTATAAGTTATAATTTTTTTATAATAAATCATCATTTACTTATATAATTCAAATATTTTTTATACTAATCAAATAAACCAGTAGTCCAGCAAATTTCCCAATTTTAACAACCATTAGCTTGCTTTATCAGGTTCAAATATAGATAAGCTTTTCATATATATATATATATATATATATATATATATGTGAGAATTACAAAATGAGCCGAAGCACAAACTCAACTCTGTCTTTCTTCTCAATTTTCTTTTTAACATTTTATAAGAATAGAATGCAATGAAATGGATAAACAAATCTACCCCTCTCACCAAAAAGTCTTATGCTTTCAGCAACTACCCATGCTATGCTCTATTTACACGAATTTTTTGTCCTTCTAGCACCTGCAGAGAAACAAAAGGTTTCAGACAATTAAAACGCAATGCAGATGGAATCATAGGAAGGAAACGATGAACAGAATAAGAAGAATCACGACATATATTGATGGGAATTCTCATATCGTCCAGAAGTGCAAGATGGTATCTGAAGACGCAGATGAGAAATATTCGATAACAAATTTAACAGACATCATTCAAACTGGTGATGCATAAATGATCATGAGCTTCTGACTAGATAGGACAGTTTCCGACAAGCCTCTAATTAGATGATTTATATGTCATTTCCTCTGTAAGGTGTTATGCATTCAAGTCGCATTATATATTTCCATGTCTTATTTGTAGGACTCAACCTCAAAATTTTGTCCAAAACAAGATTCTTCCTCCACTTCTTTTTGTTTTTTTGGTAAACGTTATGGCATAAGGAGTCAACCTCGAGAGTGTATGGTTTTATGCAGATGCAGCTATGTGCTTTTATTAATAACTATTAAAAGGCCAAGTGGCGTAAGTGTATTTCAGAAACTCAATGAACCCCACAAAAGCAGAGCAATGGCAGGGTAGAACTTACAGAGTCGTTAAAAGATGTGATGGCAGCCTCAACATCCTCTTCTGAAGAGAATGTAACAAATCCAAATCCACTAGATTTTGAGGTCCCAGGAAGCCGTGAGACCTTCGCGCTAACAACATTCCCCTTCTCAGAAAAGAACTTCTTGAGGGTATCAGTGGTCACTGCCTTAGAAAGATTTCCAACATAAACTTTGTGGGGGCTATCAATGAATTGGGATTCCTCTGCTTGAAGGAGAGAGAAATCAAATGATGGTAAAGGTTTCTCTGTGATGTTTACCCTGATTTCCCGTCCTCCAATTTCCTGTAGCATAAAGAAAACAGAAGCAACCAATCCTTCGTAAAATGAATAATCCAAATAACATCAGTTGGCACCACATGATTTTACTCGGGACAGAAACTATTACTAATGCTTACAGTTCCATTCAATTTCTCAATTGCTGCATTTGCATCCTCAACAGTTTTCATTGTAACAAATGCAAAGCGTCGACTCCTTCCTGAATACTTATCATACATCACCTGTAAGTGAAAAGTGAAAATAACCTGTCAAGCAATCACACGTGGAATTCTGAAAATATAACCCTGCTCCTGACCCCCATTTTTCCTTTTCTCCTCTTTTCCTAGAATATGACCAATGTTCTTGTAGCCACATCCCTTAAATCTAGTTTGGCAAGACAAACCCATTATATTGATGATCTTATACCCACTACTGATGCATGGAATGCAAGTTCTTAACTGCATTCATCAATAATTTGATGCGAATACAATCCTAGGTGGTAAAATTTACAACTTTGGAATCCATTGCCAAAAAATCCAGATGCAACGACCAGCAACCACGTGCTGATTATAGCATTGGGACAGTATTTGATACTTTTGGTCTTGAATATAACAAAAAAGGTCAAGATTGATGTGGGTCTAATTTAAAAACGGACTTCTATAAATCCCTAGGTTAGCACCCTCTCTAGGAGTAACATCTTGATATGAACCAGAAATACACTCCTCATAGCACATAGGAACTGCATTTGCTGAACCAGACACAAAATGTTTTTTAGGAGAAAACAAGTATTCTAAATTTACACAGCTCAAGGACATGCAACCAGATACAAGAAGAAACTGCACATAAGATACAAGCCAAAAGAGAAACCTGATTAATTTTTTTAAATGTTTTAAAGAAGTAATTAATTCAGTAGTTGACAGGACGTTCCAAACCTGAGGAGGCAAAACTTCTTGGATTTCATTTCAAAAAGGGATACCCCACAAATATTTTACTTCTGATCAACCATGCTCTATAAAATTACCAAGATCTTCCTCATTAGAGCTCTGCTGGCTACATATTAAGGGTCTAAAAGCTGTTATGGGAAAGGCAAAGAAACATCCTCAAAAGCACATTAATTTCTTTCTCTCAAAATGACTCAAAAAATGTTGAAATGTATGAGGGAGATGATTCTCTTCCTCTCATTGTCAGCCTCAATGACAAGAAGCCCAAGGACTGCCCACGATAGAGTCCCACCACCCAATTGAGCTCCGAAAGGCCAAGGCAGTATCCCATACACACCTAGTAAGAGGACACCATTAGAGATGCCTAGAAGATTCTTCAGAGCTAACCTGCTTACAGAGAAACATCCATTCAACAAAAATTTTGCTGTGTATTTTCAGGTTGTCAATTGTTAAATCCTTTCCCAAGAAAAAGAAAAGGCCACCCTTTATGGTCTTTCCTTCTCCAAATCAGGCTCAAGGGGAAGAAGGGATTTGCAACTTCCAATTCGCTTAAAAACTAGGTATTAACTATTTGGAAATTGTATAGTCAGGCAGAAGGAATAAGGCAAAATTTGGTCAAGAAATAGAATTCTAGGTTCTTTCTTCACAATGGCTCTCATCCTCCGTTACTCATAGCAAATCCTAAAGTTTTGATACTTGTTGGAAAATTATGCGATAATTACTTCAGTTTTGAGAAGCAACATAACTTTCTGTCCTGGTAAGCAGCTTACTGAATTATGCTTTGGATCATCAAACAGCCAATAATAATAAACGTAGTAAACAAGCAACAGAAACATGTGCTGAGTTCTAATGCTTACATTTCGATGCTCGGAGAATTTTAGCTATATGATCAGTTTCATGCCATATTTTTGGTATTACCCTCAGGAAAAAATTACATTCTCAGTAAAATCCTCACATCTCACCTTAAAAGTTACAAATTTTATGCAAACAAAACATACCCACGTCCAGCCGTTACCTTAAAAATAAAAACATAAAAAAAAGAAAGAAAATGAAAAGAAAAGAAAAGGAAACTTCAAAAAGGAAAAAAAAAAGGAAGCTTTCATCAATGTCCTCACTATCCACAGAGCCAAAACCTGAACCGAACTCCCGAAATTTTCACATGTAAATCAAAGAAAGCATTATTTTGCTTAATTTGTTATCACAGTTCATTTCGACAAACCAAGTTGATAATCTCGAGCAGAAAAAGTAAATCCCAAAGGGGAAAAATTGCTAAAACCTTAAAGCTACACCATTCTTATGTACCAAAACAATCAAGTAGTACTAAAGAGGGTGTTAGGCTTAGCTCAAATATAGAAGATAACTTATACACTATTAAAAAGAGCTTATAAGTAATACACCCTTCAACAAATTAAGCTCAAAATTTAGCAAAAGAAAACAGAACAGAATAAAAAAATAGAAAAAAAAATGACAATACCTCAGCTTTTTCAACAGCACCATGGTCTTGCACAATCCTGGTAAGCTCTTCATTGTCCACATTCCTGGGAATGTTACCTATGTACAGCCTCCGAGCAGCCTCAGAAGTGGGGTCTGCAGATGTTGCCCCCTCGGCTGTAACTGCGAATAATCTTAGCCTGGTGAAGGAATCTCCGCACCTCAACTTGAAATGTGGAACTGTGAACTTATACGAATTGCAAAGTGGAATTGTCGTTGATTTTGGTGTTGTGAGAGAGATTTTTGATTGGATTGAGAGGTGGGACTTCTCAGCAGTCGTTGAGTGAAGAACAAGATGCGGTTGTGGTGGTGATATTAGTGTGTATAGAGCAGCCATTTTTGTTGCAGAGTAAGAGAGGGAAATGGCTTACCTGGGAAAGGAGACGGGAGGAGGTTTACAGCATTATCCAGTTCTTGGCTTTTGGCTATTTTGGCTGTGATTCACCCGCACGTAACTCTGATAAAACCAGTGACGTTTAGGGTGGGGAGAGAGATATTTTGAACTCCTAAATGTGTATATAATTTTTTAATGTAAAATGCATTACAAAATTATTAAGAATGTTTGTATAAATTTTTATGTGAAATTAAAATAATATATTTTAAAATTTATTAAATCTTAATGAAATTTAAAATTGTTGCTCTAAATCTTAATTTAAATTTTAAATTGTTCTAATTTCCCCTTATGATAAAACAGTAATAATTCAATTAACACAAAATGTAAATAAGAAAATTTTGACCAAATTAGAAAATAAATTTATTATTGTACTAACCAAAAATAGAATTTAGTAAATATAAAATAAAATAAAATAAATTATTTAAAACTATCAGAAAAATAATTAGCTTTTGAAAAAAGAATTTTGGGCCTAATAAGAGCCCAGCTGACTTCACCCGAACCCGGCCCATATCTAAGACCCATCAGGTTAGGGTTTGAACTGCCGATACTTCACTTCGTAATTCGTATATATACCTACCTTCTAGGGTTTCTTTAGTGGCTGCTCCATTTTCAGAGAGAGCGAGAGGCTAAGAAAACCCTAGCAATGGCGCCCAAGCAGAGAACAGCAAAGGTGAGCAGAAACCCTGATCTGGTAAAGGGTATCGGTAAGTTCTCGAGGTCGAAGATGTATCACAAGAGAGGTCTCTGGGCTATCAAGGCCAAAAACGGCGGCGTCTTTCCTCACCACGACCCCAAGCCTAAGGCCCCTGCTCCAGTAGAGAAGCCACCCAAGTTCTACCCGGCTGAAGACCTTAAGAAGCCGCTAGTCAACAAGCGCAAGCCTAAACCCACCAAGCTTAGGTACTGTTTCTCTTCCCTTCCTCTGTATCTATCTGTAAGCTTATTCATTTTCTTTTTGTTATCCATGAAATTTTCAGGCTGTATTTAATTGGTTTTCCGTTTTTCTTTTGATTTACATGTTTTGTTTAGTTGATTTTTTTTTTTACTTTTTATTGAGAAAATTGTATGTCTTTACTGGTATTATGTTCATGTACGTGGCAGTGCTTAGATTTATTGCTGTATGTTTGACTGTTTTGGGTATTTTTGCTTGTTTTTGTGTATTTCCTTTAATCGATTGGTTAGGAAATGGAGAACATTCGAAGAAGAATTATTCTTTGGATAATAAATATATTTTCTCTGAAATTTAATTGGATTTTCTGTTCGATCTTGTGTTGTGAAGCTGAGAAATTTAAGTGGAGGTCCGACTTTGATGCTTTGGTGTTTTAATATTTGCATTCTGTTAGTTTCCCGGGATTATTGTCTTTTTTTTTTAGGTTTGTTATGTCTTCTTACACTCGAAATTTTCTCGGTCAGTTCTGTGCCTCTGTATGTTAGTAGCTGTATTTTCTTCAAATGCATTAAATTTTCTTTTACTGGTTTGCTTGATTGGCCAATTCAACTTTTTAGCCCCGTCTGTTTATAGGATTCATTTTGTCCGATTGGCTATTTTTATAGTTCTCGAGTGAAGCTTTTGTATTCTATTCTTTTGCCTTTGTTCTGCTTGATTGTAAACTGAAAGCGGGAGTTTTGTATAAGCTGTGGGAAAATAGAGGATGTTATTCAATGAAGTCAATTGTACCAAAATACTATGGTTTTAATTCAATTCTTTTTCCTCTTCAGGGCTAGCATTACCCCAGGTACAGTGTTGATCATCCTGGCTGGAAGGTTCAAAGGAAAGAGAGTTGTCTTCTTGAAGCAGCTTTCTTCTGGCTTGCTTTTGATCACTGGTTAGTTTTTTTCCCATTTATCATCATTTTTTTTACAGATTTATTAGAATCTCTAAATGGTGAAGATCATGCAAACTAACATGTTAGAATAATGCAAACTGCTTTAGCATTTGATTGATTCTAAAATTAGTCCGTTGGTCTTGTTTAACTAACTTCTGCATTACAAGTGCTGAAATTCAAAATTCCTTTGTTATGGCTAGAGTTAATCTTTACGTATGAGGTCTTCCTTAAAACAAACTTACTATTTCAGTTAAGCTTCCCTTACCTTATTTAATTATTAGTACTTGACATCTTAATGTTTATTTCTTGTACTTTGTTGTGTCTGCTTCCACAGGACCCTTTAAAATTAACGGTGTTCCTCTTAGGAGAGTTAATCAGTCGTATGTTATTGCTACTTCCACCAAGGTTAACATCTCTGGTGTAAATGTTGATAAGTTTGACGACAAGTACTTTGCCAAGGTGGTTGAGAAGAAGAAAAAGAAGGGTGAAGGCGAGTTCTTTGAGGCCGAAAAGGAGGTTTGTTCAATAGAACTATGTTCTTTCTCCTGTAATAATTGATGCTATCTCTTGACGTATTGTTTATTATCTTACTTCAAAATGCAGGACAAGAATGTGCTCCCACAGGAGAAGAAAGATGATCAGAAATCTGTAGATGCAGCACTGATCAAATCGATTGAGGGCGTCCCTGATTTGAAGGCTTATTTGGCTGCAAGGTTTTCTCTGAAGCAAGGCATGAAACCTCATGAGCTCGTTTTCTAGAGTGAACAATTTTCAGAAGTATTATTAGGATTGCTTTACGTTTTCCTACTTTGTTATGTTTGTTTTAACTTGGGTTTTAGAAATGTACTCAGTTGAGTTCCATTGGTAATAGACACCTAAATTTTTTGTGTTACTCAAGGCATTGCAATGTGGAAGGAGTTTCCTTATGTGTTACAATGAACTTATATACTCCATAAAATTTGAGTCTATGATACGGGCATGTATTCTAATGTTTACCTTCATGCAGTACGCTGAAATTTTCATTCTAGTTTAAAACACTAAAAAAACATAGATCAAGAAATGGAACGTGGAAGGAAATGGTATCTGCAAATGGGTTGGATTTGACTGAACATCTATGCAACAAGAGTGTACAATGGTTATGTTATGGAACGTGGAAGGAATTCAAACTTTTCTTGGAGCTTCGAATAAATTCAAAATTTTTCTAGATTAAATCTTAAAAAGCTAAAGATAATAATGCAAATTGACTCTTTCACACGATTTATTACTAATACATTCTCATCCTTTAAGGTTTGGAAGGTCTATGGTGGTTACATGCTACAGTTATTCATATGGTAAAATTACTGGAACATGGAAGAAATAGAAAACATCTTATAAAGGGAAATTAGATTCTTAGACAATAAGTCAGTTGAAACTAGATTGCGTTGCAAATTCTGAAGTCTATAATCACAATAAGCTGTCGGTTCTTGCTGACAATCTCTTGAAGAAATTGCTGGGCACAGATGGTAGTTTGCTTCTGAACCGAGGATGTCTCAGATAATACAGACCAGCTACGAGAGCTACTGCCCTGAATGGTGTAGCATATAGCACAACAGCTGCACAAAGACAAAACACTACGAACAGACTGGTTGCTCTAGGATCTCTCCAGCCGAGTAGAGACTGGATCCTCTCACCTTGAGTGGCTATATCACCGACCACTGTCTGTATCCGTCCAGCAATACCTCTTAGTCTGTCGTACCGCATTCGAACTATGTCATTTGGTCTAGATGTTGGGAATGTGTCAAATTCTTCGTCAAGCTCATCGGGGTTCACTGCTTCTGCCCAGGAAAGTTTGGTATCCATATGGGGAGGGTGCCTTGGCCTAAGCCTGTAGTTCCATAAGCCAATTAAGAACATGTAGAGAAACAGAGTTGGGAGGATCAGTTCTGGGTACCAAATCAATATCAGAAACAGAATGTGAACCAGAACAGACGTGATAGGGTTCCTCCAGTTGCAGACATCACCTAACCAACGTCCCATGGAGATCATTCCAGAGAAAAGCGACATGATACGGAAGAAATTTGCTTTGCTTCTTCTCATGCTCCACATATGGGAATCCACATCTAACATGTATTCCACTACCTCTTTTCTGAGAGGAGGTTCGGCTCTGCCAAGCCTCACAGCTACAATGTTCATAGCCTGGTACCTCAGAGTATCTACCTGGTTGACTGTGAAGGGATGTATGTAATGCATTTTTGGTAGAATAGGGCGACCATAAACATAGATCATGTTGGCTAAAGAAAGGGTAGTGAATCTAACTGCTAACTGAAGTTCCCCCATTTTCTTCACTCCATGTGGTTGCAGAACAAGAAGTGGATATGAATGTGTGTAAATTCGATGAGCTTCCAGCGTTGACAGCCTGATTCTTACCTTCCCGATTCGTGAATCTCTTGCTGCTCTGCTGCTGCTACTGCCATTCTGTTTCTCTTCGACGCCCAGATGGCAGTTGTCAAAAACTCCAAGCGTGATCACTGTGCAAGGATCATAAACTTCCCATGTATACTGCTCGTTCCATTTGGGATTGTAAGTGTCAATGATAGTCCTGGTTCGAACCCATTTCTGGCCATATTTTGCGACACAGTAAGCGTCTGTGCTTCCTCGTCTGTCTTTCATTTTCATTGGAAGAAGTCCTTGTGCACCCAGAATGCCCACTTCTAGGATTCCAACAGGTTGCTTCCAGAGCTGCCTGGCTGTAGGCTTTTGATCACTGATATACATTGTGGATTCATCAAGAACATGATAACCACCCTCAAGACAGACTCTTAGGTGGATTCTGCTTGAGAACTTGAGCTCACTCCTTCTGTCAGCCTCCAGGATGCCAAAACCAAATTTCTCCAGATTGAACCAGCGGGAATGAACTGGTCGGTGATCTAGCCGCTTCTCAAATACATCAAGTGGGAGGTTGATCTTCCCCAAAACTTCGTCTTTGGAAGTGTGAACCTTGTCCTCAACAGTTATAAATAGGTGGTCCTCAAAAGGCTCGGCTGCTACAAAAACTAGATCTTCGTTCCATAGTGGATTAGTAGTGCGAGTTGTGCAAATTCTGGTCTTGAGCACTTGATTCCCCACCTGAGCTTTCACAAACAGTTCGGGAAGGCGGTTTCTGTCGTTAGGCAGAACATCTTGAGCTTCAATTACGTTCACCCTTAAGTACCACAATTTTGGAGATACATAGACCTTTGATCTGATGCTGAGGACTCCTTCTTCAGACAATACTGAGGCAGAATCAGAATGCCATGCCTCTGGAAATGATTCATCAGCCTGTGTTCCCATCCAGACTGCAAGCATAATGTCTCCTCTCACCTTCCCTTGTCCACGGCGGTCTTCAAGTCTATACCATTGAGGAGCAAGTGGACTGTCTGGAGGAACTCTGGTTGGAATCTCATTCAAATCAAAACCCACCCTACCAAGATAATCATCTCTGCCCAACATGTCTTTGTCCTTCACAAAAACCTCCAGAATTGAAGATTGGATCCGATCTTTAGAGAAAGCAAAGACCTGGTTCCATTCAGGATTCAACTTCTTCTCAAAATGCCTGGTTCTTCCCTTATAGTTCCCCATCTTCACTTCCACATAAGGATCACAACTTCCAGTAATGGTACTGGGAGGAAGATCCTTAGCTTTCACAACACGAACGTACAAGTAGAACATCTGCTGTACTAGGTCATAAGTGGTTGTGAATCTGTCCCCACCACTTATCCATCCTCTCCCACCATATGTTCCCCCATTTGGCCACCTCTCCCCAAGCTCAGGACTTGTGTCCTTCAGGTTGTAGTCCTCCCGATCATGTGGATGAACTTGTGGACCAACAGAGTGCATGTTAGCGGGACGCTTTCTGCTCGTTTCTCAAATATAATTCCAGGCTGCACAACAACTTTGTGTTTGTGTATGTGTTGAGTAGTCTCTTTACTTCCTTCAACAAGTTCCTTGATGTCCTCCTTCAACTTTTTTTCTGGAATGCCACTCCCGGATTCAACTGCTGTAACAGGAGATGTATATCTTTTGTTCACAGCTGCAGAAGAAATTTTCTTTTCTGGTGCTGAAGTGATAGCTTTGGCAGTTTCGACACAATCATCTGCTTGGGAGAGAGAAGATAATTTTGTACAGATAGGATTAGTGTTAGGTGAATCTGGGGACTTCGTAATCAAGATAAGAGGAGGATCAAGAGAAAGAAGAGAAGTTGGTTGCGATGGAAGGGAGGAGAAAGAGACTTTGTTTCTGATTCTTGGGAGATATATATTTAAGGCCAATCTCACCTTTGACAGATGAGAAGAACCAGTTCTTTTCCAACTGGAATTGCTGATAAACTTCCTCACCTTTCTTGACAAGATTTGAGAAAGGAATTCTTACTTCACCAAGGAAATTCCTGCCGGGAACAGGCCTCCTTTCGTGGTAAACAGAGACTTGAATGAAGAGGTGATTGTGGAATTTGGTTTCTTCAATGTCAAAGAGAAGTTTCTGGTTCCATACAGGGTTGAGATTCTTTGAGATTGTTATGGTTTTGCTTAGCTGGTTTTGAAAATCTACTTCTTCAAATGGATTGGCTGAACCTTCACCATCTTTTGGCATAAGATCATGAGCATCCACCACTTCTACTACCAGGTTCATGCTCCTTTTCATTGTTGCTTGTTGGTTGTGTGAAGGAATGAGAGAAAGTAGCCTCCCACAAGAAATCTGAAACTCTATTCAGAAGCAAGGAAGTTTTGCTAATGAAGGCAGAGAATCAAAACAACTTTAAAGAATACTCTCTCAATCCTTGTCTAGTTGAAGAAAGGAACGATTTGATGGAGAAGCTGCCTGCTGTAGTTTTTATGCAGCTGAAGATTTAAGTAGATGAAATTGTAGGGAAAGCAAAAACTTTATGGAAAGTGAGAAAGTGAATAATGATTGTTGTTTTCAGCTTCAAAAGTAAAGTGGATAATATAGTGTTGTCCCCAATATCCTGTCCTTTTGCCGCTGTTTTTGGCAGTCAAGAATTGAGAAAAAATAGGAATGTAAATCTGTGGTGGCTAAAAATGAGAGTTCCCTATGTGCTGACAAATGTAGCCTTTATAAATAAATATAGTGTACTAATGCATATCAACTGCATTATATTCGTATCTTTCCGTTTACTTTTCGCAAAGCTTAATGTCTTTGATAATGTAGATCCCAGTGACAAGTTATATATACATATATATATATATATATGTATGATCTGCCCGGAAAAAGAAAAAATACATCTAATGTTTTCTGGGATTTTCATATACATATATACATACATGTATATATATATATCCTTTTGTTTAGGTAAAGGCTTCAGGATTAACACATTTTTAAATTTATTAACATACACTTTTACATCCTTGACTAAAAACACTTGCTTTTTTGTTGGTGTAACAAATACAGAGCCATAGTTGGAGTCTCCAATGTGGCTTATGGACACGCCTTTCTTCTTTGTGCAGCAATGACAAAGTAAAGAAAAGCCAGCTGAGAAAATTAGCAGCTTATAGAAAAAGCCATTATAGTTCGAGCTGAAAGAAAAGCAAATGCAGCAATCTAAAGTTCAAGGTCTTGTACTTTTCATTAAGAAAAAAAAAAAAATCATTATTTCAACAAAAAAAAGGAAAAACAAAATTCATAGCTTTGTTACCTTGGCTAATATGATCTTCCTGGGCTGTGTTATCTTCCTTTAACCCTCTTAATTTTTCTTCCTCTCTCAAATCAGCTGGTAGCTGGATTGCAGCTTCTTATTGATGTGTGTGTTTGTATGTATACTCACTCAAAGAAAATAACAATTACTTGTTCTCAACTGCCGCACTCAAGAATTTGTCCAAAGATAAAATAACTTGTTATATGAACAGTAGACTTGATTGTGGCAAACATTTATCAACTATGAAGAACCCATCATAATTATGCTCCAAATTTAATTAGCACAAAGTAATTTAGCCAAAAAAAAAATGGAAAAGAAAATTACAGAAACTTTACATAATGAGTAGTAGATTGATTGAAAATAAAACATCACTATTTATATCAGCATGAACCAAATTAGTCAAGATTGTTTAGTCAACCTACTCAATTGCGACTTTTCCCTTTCTGGATACTGTCTGGAAAGTATTAGTCAAATATTGCCATTTACAGTACTTCACTATATCCAGTAATGCAGGTTACCTCCTGAATTTTCGAAGCAGCCAGTTTTCTTCTCTTTTCTTAATACATTGATGGTCTGGTCAATTCTTTCTGATTGAAGTTCTGATGATCTTGTTAAATCTTTAAGCATCCCTTTGCAACAAAATTACTTCAATGAAACAATAAGTGCCTGGTCTCTGAAACTCAATTGTAAATGACCGATAACATGCACTTTAGTGTTCAGGATGACTGAAACACGATGAGGAAAGTTAGGTCCATTAGGAGTGTCTCTAAGTATCAATAAACAATTTACTAGTTGACATTCAGGGCTACTGCTCGAGTTGATCAAGATAACACACCTTTATATCCTGTAGCTCAGTGGTACCTCTCTTGTATAAACCCCTACTCCTATCCAGAAATCCTTTTGTCATCATGTCAGCAAATCTTTCCCTGACATCAACAAGAGGGTGTTTTTGCAAGAGTTTTTGTCTTTCATAGGCTTCCCTGAGGATAATGGTCTGAGTATCACATTTCATGGAAATGTAAAAAATTCCAGGGTGGCGCTCAAACACCTTCGTGAACTTCTGAGGGAGGGACAGAGGCTTACGAAGATTACTCACATTCTTACGCTCTGTTTTTTTCTGGATGGTGAGATGGAAAAGCTCATGGAACACCCCAACAATTCTCTTCTCAGACACATCAGTTCGTGAATCCAAATGTGATGCATCCACATAAGGTGAAGTGTAAGGGAGGCTTTGCCACTCCTTTAACCAGTCCATACATTTCTTTTTCAACCCAAAACCTCTTGTAAATCTAACTGGGAAGGGCAAACAATCATTCTTGTTCTCTTGTTGTAAAGCAGCATTCTTCTGCAACTGCGAGACAGCAAGACCATCATGCCAGAATAAGAGCTTTAAGCCAACACGATTATCGGGTAAGACTACCAATGAGAATAGCTGAGGGTAATGTTTAATCAAGGAATCGTAATAATTATATGGCAACCCCATGTCCCATTTCAGCTGGTCAATGGTTTGCAGAGGAAGCATCCTCTCCTTCACAAGCATAAGCAGTTTACAAAGTCTATCAAGGAGATCCATCTGATTCAGCTGGAGAACCTGAAGTTCCTCAAGGTGAAGATTTAGCGTCTCAGGTGTCAATCCAAAGCAAGGAACACGAGTGCCTCCACTGTCCAGAACATGAGACTCAGAAAATATATTAGGAAACTTCCTCAGAAATGTGGAGAGCTTAAGAATGCAGGGCAGACCAAGTTGGCCACGATGCCGGGAAAGACAGTAAATGGGAAGGCAATGATTGGGAGATGAGGAGATGATGGAAACAAGATTGCACACGGCTCTCAAATCTTTCTCACGTTCCACAACAGCATCCAGATCCTTATCTTTCACCCATTTTAGCTTTATATTCACTAAGCTGAACTTCTGCTGGTAGTTGAAACCTTTGCGGCACCCACATAAGATATTAAAGCTTCCACCTTTACCAAACAGGAAGTGATGTACCATTTCCTTGCTTTAAAAACTGCGACTATAAGCCCTCGGAAAAAATGACTGATAACAAATTAACAATGAACATGCTTCAAGTTCATCATTCAATGTGCTTGGAGATAAAAATTATTCAGAAACCAGATCTGCAAAAAAGGTGGAGTAGAAGTAGCATTAACAAACAAGGGCAACAGAGAAAAAGCAGAGGCAGCATGAAGGACAGGAACATCAGTGTTAAAACATCAAAATCCGAAGCAAATTGCAAACAAAATTTTAAAATCATATGAAAAAATACCAAAAAAGCATAATTGCATAACACGAACATATCCAATCTCCAACCAGAAAGATGAATAAGAATTATAAGACCTAATCGAAAAAGAAAACATAAACCAAAGGAAGGAAGACCTTAGTTTTGGACATTTTAGTCCAAAACCAACCCAAATGCACACTCTTCGGCCATAGCAGGTTTCCAAATTATGTTTATTCTTATGAGCGAAACGAAAACTATAACTCTATGATGTTTGTTTAGGATAAACAACCTCAAAAACTAGCGGTTGAGGACATGGAGTTTGAGTCCCATACCATTCAATTAGCACAAACACTCTAACTTTACAGAGCTGACACAATAGGAGACTGACTGCAACAATTTTCTTTAACTAGGTCACAGGTTAACACTACAATCCCAGCATTACCACGGAGCATTTCCTTCGCGTCTTAAACTTTTAAAGACAAATCGAACCATGAAAAATCTTTTAGAGTTTAAAAGGAAAGAAAAGCTGTTTACCATTATTGTCTGAAAACATCTATGCACCCTCCCTCAATGTTCAGTACTTGAATTTTCCAACATGTTGTGCGTTCATAAATGTAAACCAACCCAATTGTCAAATCCTAATTTGAGCTAATCTGACACC